TGGAAATTACATTTCAGTCTTTTTATTCATCACATTTTGCTTAACTAAACTATATATAATAGGATGAAAACATTTTTTAATTCATCACATTTTTCTTCAACTAAACTATATACATAATATGGAAAATTAACATTTCAGTCTTTTAATTCATCATCTTTAAAGAGAAATCACTTTCGTCAAACCTCATGGCATTCTGGAGAATATCAGAGGGAGTGGCGCGTGATGACGAGCATCTTTGATTGTTGACCAATCGTCGCATAAGGCACTGTACTTCCATGCAGCATTTTGTAGTTCGGGATATTTCTCCATTTTAGTGGTTACTAATTCCCAACAACTCAATGGCTATCGCTTTCTTTCATACGATTTAAAATAGCACGTCTTTTTGAGTTTTTGGATGCTTTCTTTTTCCCCGTTTTTCCGTTTCTTTTTATAGCTGCTATCATTAGTCTAAAAATGGACATAAAATATATTTAAGCTCATTTCTTTTACTTAGACATGGTAAATTTACTTACTATATAGCAATAACTTCTGCGAAGTCGTGGTATACTGGTTATCGTTTAATTGATCTCAATGAATTAATTCGAAAATAAAATCAACGAACCAGGATCCTATATAATAGTATAATATTTGTTTGTATTAATACAATATGAAATAAATAAAATTAATTAAAATATTATAGCAATTTGATTTCCGCTCCTTACTTGTAGTAGACTCCAGAAATTTTAAATGGGAGAAGCACCACAATTTTGGTGTTAGGAGTCAGGGCATATGGAAAATTAACATTTCAGTCTATTTTAATTCATCACATTTTTTAAAGGACGAAATCACTTTCGTCAAAACCACCACTCATGGCATTCTGGAGAATATCAGAGGGAGTGGCGCGTGATGACGAAGCACTCTTTGATTGTTGTACCAATCGTCGCATAAGGCACTGTACCTCCCATGCAGCATCTTCTTGTAGTTCGGGAATTATCTCCTCCATTTTAGTGGTTACTAAATTCCCCAACCAACTACATGGCCCTATTTGGAATGCATTTTCTTTTCCCCGTTTTCTTCCTGCTTCTTTTCTATAGCTGCTATCATTAGTCTAAAAATGGACATAAAAATATATTTAAGCTCATTTCTTTTACTTAGACATGGTAAATTTACTTACTATAGCAATAACTTCTGCCGAAGTCGTTTGGGTACTTGGTGTATCGTTTAATTGACTCAATGAAATAAATTCGGAAATAAACATCTACGAACCAGGATCCTATATAATAGTATAATATTTGTTTGTATTAATACAAATATGAAATAAATAAAATGAATTAAAAATATTACCTCGCAATTTGATTCTCCGCTCCTTACTTGTGTGTACGACTCCAGAAATTTTAAATAGGAGAAGCACCACAATTTTGGTGTAGAAATGTCATCCACCCCAGATCCGCTTTTTTTGGAAGTGCGGAATTCGCGAATTCCTCGCAAATATTGCGACCTTAAGGTTTTCCATTTTTTTTTACCTCAAAATCATTTAAACTCGGCATTTCTACATCTTGAACTATTTTGTTGAACGCCTGAGCTTTGGCATTTCGATCCAAATACATCGAAGATCTAACATTATAAATACATTCGTTAGATTCTACCAATTGTATCAATTTTTCAATTTGGTCTTTTGACCATTTTATTTTTTCCGTCACATCTGTCTAAATAAATCAAAGGATTAATATGCATAAAATACATAGCTTTCGAAACTTAATTTAAACTACTCAACGAACACGGATGATAGAACAAAATCGAATCAACGATAAACTGCCAGAAGCAACTAGTTACCGAATTCGTAGTTGCCAGAATGTTCTAGAAGAAGATTTACTATATAAGGGCTGCCGGACTGTGCAGCAAAGAGTTCTAGTTAGAGTGTTGTCGTGATAAGAACAATTGAGACATAAGCAAGAAGTTGTAAGCTCGAATAACGAGCAATAAGTGTAAAGTTGTTGGAATTAGTAATATAGATAAGTGTGTAGCCATTAAATTGGGGAGTTTTATTTAACAATCCAGTGATCGAACTCAAGAGTGAGTTACAGGTAGACGATTTGTCGAGAAATCCGTTACAATATGAACCTTTTTAAAAAAAAAAAATTCCTAACCGCTCACTTCAACATACAAACATACTATGAACTATGCAACATGCCCTAAGTGTTGCGCAGTCGAACCGCACAAATATTGAAGAAAATTTTGTGAAAAGGAATGCAGAAAAACTAGACTTGAGTTGCTGGACTCTTTTTGCCCGTGTGAGTGCACAGAGCGACACCAAAAGAAAATTTGAAAAAAAATGAGGGTCAAAAGAGTCCCAATGTAAAAGCCGTCTAGTAGTGAAATGAAATAAGTCAAACAATATAATCAATATCAAAACATAGTATAAAACAAAATCGCTTTCTCTATAGCTATATCGCTATGTATATACATATATATATTAGGGAAATTCTTTTCAACAAGTAAGAAAGGGCTAAGTTCGGATGTAACCGAACATTTTATACTCTCGCAAAGTCAAATGGTATACTCGTTTGAGATTTCTGATTCTGAGAAGGTCTACTATAGGCACTGGGGTCCACATATTTAGTACTTAGGGGATTGAACAGTTTTGGTTCGATTTAGACAATTTTTGGTCACAAGGTGGCATACTTTAAACGTATTATTCACGCAAAGTTTTACCCCGATATAATCATTGTTGCTTCATATGCATAGTGGAAAGTGAAAGAATCAGATGGAATTTAAAATGGTGTTATATGGGAAATAGGCGTGGTTGTAGTCCGATTTCGCCTATTTTCGCTCTATAACATAGCAATATGAAAAGAACGTTATGCACCGAATTTGGTTGAAACCGGTTAAGCAGAACCCTAGATATGGGATTTCACTGACTAATTTTGAACGCGGTTCCTATAAAGTCATCTCATACAATCTCAGAGATAAAATTAGAGAGTGGGCGGAATTGTCACCCGATTTCAACTAGTTTCACACTGTAGGTAGAGGTTCTAAAAACATTTTCTTTCAGTGAATTTTGTTATTATAGCATTAGCGGCTTAGGAGATATGCACGTTAAACCTATTAGGGAGCGGGACCACGCCCACTTTAAAAAAAATTTTAACTGCAGATGCCCCTCCCTAATGTGATCCTGTGTACCAAATAACAGTCTTGTATCTTATTGCGGAGCTTAGTTATGGTAATTTATTTGTTTTTAATTAATGGCGTTTTGTGGGCGTGGCAGTGGTCCGATTACGCCCATCTGCAATACCAACCGTCTCACAGTACCAAGAAACACGTGTACCAAGTGTCATGAAGATATCTCAATTTTTACTCAAGTTACAGCTTGCACGGACGGACAGACGGACGGACGGCCAGACAGTCACCCGGATTTCAACTTGTCTCTTCATTCTGATCATTTATATATATATAACCTTATAGTAGGGGGGACACAAACAACCGTTAGGTGAACAAAACTATTATACTCTGTAGCAACAAGTTGCGAGAGTATAAAAATCGTAATTTAAGGTCATGTATGTAAGTCCAGAAAAAGAACTTGATATTGTGGCGAACACGAATACCAGAACAAATCAGAATCTATAGCGGCCTTTACACGGTCATTCATGTTTGCAAGCATGTGCGGCGTGATGAGAAGAATGAGCGTGTAAACATAATAAATTCGTGTTTGTCATACATGTGCGATGGTTTTTAAAAAATTTTAAAAACATGATGTTGTTATAAACATGTTTTATGGTGTAAACGCTTGCATCATGCACGCAGTATATTTTTTCAGTCGTAAGCAAACATTGAAGCGTAATGACGTCACGGATAAGCAAAGAACTGTGGAAGGACTTCTTTGAAATTTATCTAAGCGTTCTGGATTATAAATTTTAAAAAAAATCTTATAATATTATATAAAAAAAAACATATAAATAAAAAAAAATTATAACAAAGAAACAATACAAGTCATAATAAAATATCATGGTTTTATGATGAACGTTTTAAATTAAATTAGCAAATAAAATTTAGTTGCATGTTGTTCAAAAATATTTGTGTCGTTCCCTGAAATTTCGTTTCGCACTACTTTTGTTAGCTATTTTTAGCGGGTTTATTTCTGGCATCCCGCCTTTTTTGACATCAGCTGTTCGAATTTCCCTGATTATTATTGAATAACAGAAAAATTAGCGAAAATGAGAGAGTCTCGCTTCATGTCATCCTTGTCATTTCATCCTTGATGTTGCTTCGTTCACAAATAACAGAGAAATAAAGTATGATTGCATGTTCGACCGTTTAAACGAAAACCAGTTTTTTTTGCATCATACCATGTTTGCATACAAAAATGACCGTGTAAAGGGCGCTTATGATAAACTCATTGTATAAAACTACAAGTAACACGGGTTGTACACACAGACTCTTTTGACCATCGTTTTCGTTAAATTCTCTTTTGGTGTCGCTCTGTGTATTCACACGAGCAAAAAGAGTCCAGCAACTCGAGTCTACTTTTTCTGCACAGTTAGAGCGTGTTGCATATTTCATTTGTAGGTTGGGATGATGGTCTCACATTTTGCTTGCAATAAATTACCATGAATACGGTAGACGAATATGCATAATACCTACCCGCTTAATAGTTTCAAAGAAATACTTAAGACGGGAATTCCCTAATCCACCAGAATGTGTTGAATACCCGCTACTAATATTTTCAAGGCCGAATTTATAACAGGAATTTCCTTCTTCAAGTATTAAAATCGCATAATTTTGTTCGAACTAAATTCTTTGCGGTTATGGGTATGTTATTAAAAATTAAAATTGAATTTTGAGTATTTCCTTATTTACAATTTTTCAAAATATTCTTATTATTCAATGCATACATATTTGCATATCACATACAAAAAATAGATAACAGAATTCAAATTTCTGAACGAGTGGTATAGATTCGATTGAAACCGAGCGCTCTTGCAACCATTCAAAGAATTTAAAAGTGAAAAGGAATGCTGAAAAGGGTAGCAGCGAGCTGTCATGAACAAGAAAACAAAACGTGCGACCCGAACATGAGTTACAAAAGAATCTGTGTGTAAAAGCCGTCTAACCAATACTACGATTTTCACTAATCAACCCAAAAATGTCATACTTGGTACGGGTTGCCTCGAAAATTCTACTACTAAAATCACACTTGGTACGGGTTACCTACTTATACTCTACTACTAAAGTCACACACAGGCTGCCAACCAATATTCTGCTACTAAAACGTCCAAATGATACAAATCTGCTATGGTGTGTTGCCGTGTTATGTTTTAAAATTTATAACTTTAAGAATTTTTTTATTCCATATTCAAATATTTTTCGATTGTTTTAATTCCTAAAGATTAAATTTACATAGTATTATTTAAATTATTATTTATTGTATTGAAATATTATTAAATATTTCCAATTTTATCATATATAAATATTATTGTGTAACGGTGATTTAGAATATTTAGTAAATTTTATTTATTACTTAGTAGACTGTTTTGATTATTGTTATTAATCCTGAATTGTACCTAATTTTTTATATTTATTTTCGTTTTTGTTTAAATCAAGTTGAATATTTCAACTTATATTGCTGATGTTATTAATATTCATGAACCTGATTTTATGTATATATTTTTCGAGTTAGAATTGTCATGAAAAGTAGATTGTTTTAGAACTGTATATATTATATGGGGGAATATAGGCCTCCTGGGGAACCGAACACCTCAGAGGTGGTGAGGAAAAGCAATAAATCTTTATTTTCAAAAATATTCTTGAAAGTTTTCATTAATATTCTCCATTACAAATGCATGTTCACAAGCAAGTTGTTAAACTACAATATATTCCTTTTATTTACATCTCTGTGTCAAAAAAAATACAGAATCGATCAGGTGATCACGGCTGTTTCACACACATAGGAAAACAGCTGAATCTTTGCCAGAAGCCACTATACAGCCAATTCGTAGTTGCCAGAATGCAAATAAACTAATGAAAACAAGTTTTTTCAGTGTTCCTTCGGATATAAAAGCTGCCAAAAAATTGATAACTTTTTGTAGGATTGAATAAGGAGCATAGTCGTCAAAAGTAAGTAAATCTATAGTGAGTTGTTAATACAACTTATTGACGATAAGTTAAAAATGTTTGTTTACATATGTTACAAATATATCTCCGATATAATTTCAGAATTATTTCACTATAATTTCATAGAAATACATCAGAACTCAACTACGTTCTATAATTCTTGATCAGGATATTTGTGTACAATAAAAGAAACTACTTCTTCATTTCAACCAACCAGTTAATTAGCTGTTATAATATCAATGAATCAAATTGTTTACTAAAAAATGATGCAAATATTTTCACGCAACATTATTCCATTAATTTGACTACAATTTTTTAACCAATAACAAAGGAATTAAGTTTATTTCACGAACAGACATTGGTTTGCTAATCAGCTCGGTGCCCCCTAATTTAGTTTTCTGTGCTTTAGCGCGAGTTAATATCGTTTACACGATATGAGTCGAAAGAAATATACTTTTGAGCTGCACCGAAATGTGTACTCTTTATTGATATTCTTAAGACTAACTTGTTACATAGATCTTACTGCTATTTATACTAACTAGTGTTACTTATTACTAGTTGATAGTTTCTTTACATATAACATATTGTTTGTTTAAATACATTTGCATTGTTCTTAGATAAGGTTGTTTTGTTTAATGTTGTTTTCATACATTCTGTTCATTCAGAGATAAGGTTGTTTTGATGTTTGTTTGTAAGTAAACTTTCCTTAACTCGCGCAACACCAGCTTCCAGCTCATTTCATTAGCTTAGTTTCTCTTAAGCCCCGCGCATCGCCTCTAACGAATCTAATTCGTATCGATTTTTTGTGCAAAAAGTTACCACAGGGTCTACTAACTTAGACGAAAATAGGTTTGCAATATTATGATAATACCCTAAATATGAAAAAAAGAAAAACATACGAACAGTTCGAATTCCCTGAATTGCCAGTGGTAAAAAAGCAAACCCCAAAATCCATAGTCGTGTTCGCAGCTGATCGAAACACGTCATTGTCCGATTACTCTTGCTTCATTGTGAAGCAATGTACGCAATAAGCAAAGATATTATAAAAATACAACCGATTAGAGTTGGAAACCTTCTGCTGCTAGTAAAGTCAAAATCAATAGAGGATCGCTTTGTGCGTACAAAAGAATTGTCTAAATACTGTCAAGGGAACAATCTTTGCCACCTGCTTAATCTTGTGTAATATTAGACGAAGAAATAATTAAAGAGCTTAACGCAAAAACGTAAATGGTGCCCTTTTACTTAGCGGTGAAGCGCTGCTATCATTTGACCTTCACAAACTTACAAGCAAAATCGACATCTCATGGTACTCTGTTAAGATAAGAGAATACATTCCGAATCCAATGAGATGCAAATCATGTCAGAATCTTGGCCACACAGCCAAATACTGCAAAAATAATCCAAGTTGGGTAAACTGCAATCAACTAATAGCAACGCATCAGACTCACCCAAATATAGAAATATTTTTAACACATATAAAACAAAAAACAAAAAAAGCAAAATATATATCTTAAATTTATCTTAAAAATGGGATTGAAAATATTTCAGTGGAACATAAACGGTTATATAAACAACTACGACGATCTAATACTATTAATACTATTAAACACAAGCAATACAATAACTTCAAAACAATACATTGGCTACTTCTTTAACTAAGATCAAATAAAACAAATAGTAGAGGAAACAAAATTTAAAACGTAGTACTTACGGAGAACCTAGCCTTGAACCTTAAAAAAGTTAAATTTATCCCAAAATTCATTACTGATGAGCAAACTGGAACATACACCAAACAATATCCAAACACCACTTCAAACATCTTCAGAGCCTTAACATAACTCAAAAAATTGCCGAAATCACAAAAGCCATAAAGAAGTCTGCTAATGTATCCATTCCCCAAAGAAGTCTGTTCTTCCATAAAAACTTTACCCATTGATGGAATTCCGAATTGAACACATTACGCAAAAAAACAAAAACCAGCTGGCATACCTAAAAAAAAAATCTAAAGAATTGAAAATGTTACAAGAGAGATAATGCTATTTTCACGCGGTGAAGGAAGCACAAACAGCAAGCTTTGAAAAATTTACAGCCTCCATATCACCGGCATCCACATGGGCTGACATAAAATCGTTAACAGGAGCACCCTATACACCAATTAGGTCAATTAACTACAATCAAAGCCTCTTCAATAGAAATAGCAAATTCCTTTACAGAAACGTACAATTATTCAAATGACTCAAACTTTTCGTCAGAGTACAAGTCTGCAAAAAAAGTCACTAGGTATCATTGGAAATTATTTCGCCGACTCTGCCGTACGTTTCGCATACCTTAATTTCCACACAACCGAACCAAATATTTGTCCAATTACATTGAAAACTCTCAAAAAACCATATCCTCTTGCAAAGGATTATTATCCATAGACCACCTAATCGTCGACTGCAATGTTACGTACCGAATTTGGTTGAAATTGGTTAAGCAGATCTCAAGATATGGGTTTTCACCTAAAAGTGGGCTGTGCCACGCCCACTGTCTAATTTTGAACGCGGTTCCTATAAAGTCACCTCATACCATCCCAGAGATAAAATTTAATGTCTCTGGCGTGTTTAGTGCTTGATTTATCGCGCTTTTAGTAGTTTTTAACAGTACCGTTATATGGGGAGTGGGCGGAGTTGCCACCCGATTTCAACTATTTTTACATTGTGGGTAGAGGTTCTAAAAAAATTTGCTTCCAGTGAATTTTGTTATTATAACATTAGCGGTTTAGGAGATATGCATATTAAACCTATTAGAGGCAAGACCACGCCTACTTTTTAAAAAAAATTTTAACTGCAGATGCCCCTCCCTAATGTGATCCTGTGTACCAAATAACAGTCTTGTATATTATTGCGGAGCTTAGTTATGGCAATTTATTTGTTTTTGATTAATGGCGTTTGCACGGACGGACAGACGGACGGACGGACAG